ATAAAAAATATTTAATGCATATGAAGCCAAAACTCGCCACCCAACTAAATATAAAAACCTTAATGATATAAATTCAAAAAATGTCACCAGATTTGCAACCCCTTATTCAAGCAGACAAAAAGCGTCATTAAGAGATTCTAAATAAAACTCTAAATGAATTATTTGCATGAGTTTCACAATGCAACTTTCAAATTGAAGTGTCTTTGAAATGTGTATTAGCTTACTAAAACTTAAGTCCTTAAAGACTAAACTCGTACACGTGCTCCTACGATCACATGAAGTTCCTAACCTTAGGAGTCTGATAATGATGTGCCGGTCAAATATATTCTTAAACTCAAGTCAAATCTTCTCCAAAATGCATGCAATGCTAATTAAAAATTAACTCAAAACAACAACTGAAAATTACTCGTAAGTGCTCCGATCAATTTACTGAATACTCTTATATGCAGTTTGAGAATGTTAGATGGGCAACGAGCCGCCTTACCTATAGGATAAGGTCGTAAGTCCCACTTTGGCCAATTTGATCCTTCCTATAGAGATTTGAGTTGACAAGAATGAACCCTCAAGTTCGATCCTCCTAATAGAGATTGAAGTTGACAGGACTAACTTGTTCATGTATGCTTAATCAAATAAACCAAACTATAAAACAAGTATTTTAATCAAAATCCCTGATGATGGGTATATTCATTACACCTCTTAATCGGAGGGGAACTATTTACAAAAATTAGAATTTTAAATCATAAAATTTATAAAATAATCAAATAAAATTAAATCACTTAATGTCAAAAGCAAAATTCATCAATTTTCTGCAACCGTTTATCAAGATGAACAAATTTAATGTTGACTCGAGCTCACAAATAATTAATATCATATTAATTATAATACTAAATTATACTCAAAAGAATCTCATGCTAGTAAAAACGCAGTCTGAAACCTCAGTCTACGTAATTTTGCTATCAAAAGACACTATTATATTACGGTCAGGATTGTAACACTTATGTTCCTCAATGACAGTCTATCATTTTGAGTTGTGAAACATATAATAAATTTGATAGGACAAGAAGCCCTATGTAAGCTAAGGTCGAATTTGATTAGTCCCCTAAGACAAAAATCCAACCCAGGTCTATAAAGTTTCCTTAGACAAAGCAACTTATGACTGCTAACAATGGTTCTTCTGTTAGTATGAGTTAACTATCTACACCGACTAAGTAGAACAGAGATTTTGATAACCCAGACTGACAAAACCATAAGATCTCGATCGGACGAGTCATCATTTCCCCCACAATCTACTCTTAAGCTCATAGTGATAGATTTATAAATTTAAAATTTAAAATTTGTTGCTTTAAGTCCAAATACTTAACATCTAATAACTAACCTTAATTGAAAGTATTCTCCTGTTACCGAGAGGGGAAATTAATCATAGGGGTTTGCTCCTATAGAAACCTCGAATCCCAAATCTTAAAGTCCTCGAAAAAATGGGTGAAATCACCGGGTAATGTCTTATCTAATATCTCATTTGTCTTCTAAAAATTTAACCCGAAACTTAAAACAAAATCTCAATGAAAGTCCAGAACATCGAATTCTTAAAACCCACGTTCAATTCTTATATATTTGCAAGTTTAACATCTAAAATTTAATATTTATTTATATAGGACATCAAAAAATTAACATTATTTTTTAACGAGAAATACACTTTATTTCATGAGTTTATTTTGATGTGATTATGAACAAAATGTTATATATAAAAATATTAAATTTAAGGGTTCAATACGTAAATATATAAGAATTGTATCGTATGAATGCAAAAATCACAACACACACACATACATACGTACATAAATGGAGCAAAAATCTTCCCACATTGTGTAGTTCGGATGAAAGTGAGCTTTGTTCACTTTGTTAAAATGATGATGAAGACTAAGCTTTATAAGGTTAAAATGATGATGAAAGAAATAAGATTTATTTAACTTATAATGATGACAATAATTCTTTCAATGATTAATTTAATTGATTATGAAAATATTACTAGTGAAAAAAATTATAAGATTTTAAATTTTAAGTAGTTGAGGTATTGAGCATTTAAATTTAAGTAATATTTATGCTATTTTTATTATCATGTTATTTACAACAACAACAAGCCTTTATCCCACTAAGTGGGGTTGACTACATGAATCCTTTTTATTCATTATTCATTGTGTCCTATTTGTCATATTTTCATTTAGTTTTAATAAATTAAGATCATTTGTATACAATATGCCTAAGTCTTTTTGGGTCAATCTCTACCTTTCTTAACATATGTTGAATCTAAAAATTCTACTTTCCTAACTGGAACATCAGATGACCGACGTTTAATGTGACCAAACTATCTCAAACAACTCTCTCTAATCTTATCAGCAACTAGAGCCACACCAATGCTTTCGCGGATACCTTCGTTTCGCATATTGTCCCTAAGTGTTAATTCACTCATCCACCTAAGCATTCTCATCACGGCAACACTTAGTTTTATGCTTCTCTTTTACAGGCGAACATTCTACACCATAAAAAGTTGTGAATCTCACTGCCATCTTATAAAATTTTCCTTTAAATCTAAGCAGTATTTTTCTATCACACCATAGACCAGATGCATTCCTCCACTTCAACCAACCAACTTGAATTCTATTAATAATTCTCCATATATAACACGATTACTTTGAACAATAAACCTTAGATACTTAAAACATTCACATCTTTTAATGATTCGATCGCACATAGTTACAATTTTGCCACTAGATATACTACTACTAAAATTATATTCCATGTATTCAATTTTAGATCTATTCAAACAAAAGCCTTTAGACTCTAATGCAGACATCCGTAATTCAAATTTTTCCGGACTCTTTCTCTAGGCTTATCCACAAAAAGGATATTATCAACGAAAAACATACAACAAGGTAGATCCTCCTGTAAATGTCCAATAAGAGCATCCATAACAAAAGCAAAAGAATATGGGGTTAAAGTCGATCCCTAATGCAATCCAATTGAAAAAGGAAAATACTAGATCAACCCTCCTACTCAAACACAAGTAACAACTCTAGTAAACATATCTTGAATAAATTGAATATAAGTCATATCAGCACTTTTCTTTTCTAGAACTTTCCAAAGAACTTCACTTGGAATCTTATCGTAAGATTTTTTTAAATCAATGTGCATACCCTCCTTACTCTCTATATACTTTTCCATTAAACCTCTCGATAATTGTGTAGCTTTTATAGTAGACTTGCCCAACATAAATCAAATTGGTTATGAGAAATCTTTGTTTATATTTTAATTTGATTTCAATCTTTGCATTATCAATAATCAAATATTTTATTTTTCTCAATATTAGGTTAAAGTGGAACCAAACTGAACTACATTATGACTTGATTTCATTTTGTTCTACTCATGATTTGATTGATTTGATTTTGTCTATAATTTAACTTTGTTTAATTAGTTTGCCCAATTCATCAATCAATCCAACCAAACAAACCAAATGTGCATCCTTACATGTTTGTTTCTTTTTCACTAGTTGATATAATGGAGAACACTATATAATATCACTCTTACATGTGTTTCCTATGATTTAAATAGTTGATTAAATCTCTTTTGATTATTGAAGCAAATCTTATAATAATAATAGAAAAACAAAAAAAAATATTTGTTTCCTTGTTAAAGATTATGTTGTATTTTCAAATCCATTCTACTTCAAGAAAAGAAAATTACAATTTTATAATGCTTGCTGATTTAAAAATTAAAAATAAATTTTATGATTTAGCTTTTAACAGTGTTATTAAACATAACACATCAGTTTAACCTCTCTTGGGTGTATCATAAACTTCACTACTCTCTACCCTAAACGCTAACAAAACCAAGTTTATAATCATCTTACTTCAACGCTGCCTGACATCTCTTTAATGGATTATTTTCTGCTAATTCCACTGTAATTTTAATTCCAATATAGGTATGCGCACACGTACACACACACACAGATATACAAATATATAGATATATATCTACATATGCATATACATCTATATCTATATATACATATACATCTATACTTCACACACACACACACACACACAAATATATATATATATATATATATATATTATATATATACACACACACACGCACGCAGATATACAAATATATAGATATATATCTATATATGCATATACATCTATATCCATATATACATATACATCTATACATCTATACATCTATATCTATATATACATATACATCTATACATCTATATCTATATATACATATACATCTATATATATATATATATATATATATATAGATCTCTCCCTCTCTCTCTATATATATACATATATATTCCCTTATTAATTGATATTCATACTCCATTCCATTCCATTCCATTGTTAATCTTCCCAAAATAGAATAGCCTATAGCTTTCTTAATGTCATTACTTTTTCCCTTCACATTTAATTCACAGCAAACAAAGGATCTTTAATCATCTCCAATCATTGAGCCCATGGAGTATTAGCCTTCCACTCTAACGTTCGCACATTCTAAGTAGAGAATCCCATTATACTATTTGATTTAGCCTTTCCCTCTTATTACAACAATTACGTGAAGTTATGATAAATCATACATAAGTGATTTCTTAGTCAAACCATTGTTATGATCTTGTTCATCAAATGCAGTTGGTTGTGGATCAAAATGAACAATTTCAAAAATGGTTTTGTCGAATCCTCATTCAAAAGACAAAAATACTAAATTTAGCCCAAAAAAAAACAAATATGAAAATTGTTAGTTGACATACCCTACAAACATAGAGCTGGATATCTACGTATGGTTAGTTCAAAAGAATTAAGACGACTCAGTGACTGATAACACTATAAATATAAGGCAGAAGCTAAAGATGAATTTCAAGGATTTATAAAAATAAAGAATTTCAAAGATTTATAAAAATAAATTTGCAATGCAATAGGAATCCAAGCTTAGTATCACACCTTGATAATGCCTGTATCTTGTATTTCCAAACTTGAATTATCATCAGAAAATGGAGCTAGCAGCCTTGAACCTTTTGTGTTTGTTTGCGGAACAAGCAGCTTCAAAGTATCGGGCCTTACATTAGTTACCTCCACTAGTTTCTTCCCTAACTCCCCTACTGTCCATCTTCCGTTCACCTCCACATTCAGTTTCGTGCCCCTCCAAATTACTTCAATATTCATTGTGCTTGCTTCCATATTATACAAGAAAGGTTGGAAAGTATGTTGCAGCTGTTTTTATGCTGTCAGATAAGCATATTGAATTTTAATGAGATACACTAGAACAAGAGAACTGCAAAAAATAGAAAACGGCAAATGCAGAGATAAAAAAAAAATAAACGTAAGAATGTGAATATATGCAAAAAGTAAGAACATAAGGAAACTTTACAGGAACTAGGCATAGAAAATACCCCAGTCAATGAAGGAAAATCTAAAAACTGTGACGTAAATGTTCAATTACAACTTTATAGTCCAAAATTATTACAAATTAACTTTTAATCACACAAAGAATTCAGTAAATTATTCTCTTTAAACAAAATTTACGTCCACAACCACAACAGTTCACTTTTAAGCATCCACTTAAATCAATGACTTATTGGCCTACAAGAATGGTCACTTTTAAGCATCCACTTTTAATCATATAGCTGCTTGTCCTAGAACTAAAAATCAGCTAGAGAAAAAAAAATGGCACGGATTTATGAATTCACATTCAAAAGATTGCTAACAGAGTAACAGAATCTAGTAATCTTCTACCCAAACACAGCTCCCAAGGGACAAGAAGAATAAGCCCCTCAAGCAACTAACGGCGACCATCATATCCAAAACTAACAAAAACGTACAGAAACAAATACGTACAAAAAGGGCAAAAAACCAAATAAGTCATCCTTCCAAAATTACAGGTAAAATTAAAATCGAAGGGGAACGAAATGAAGAATGCTAGAAACACAAATTTACGCAGATTTAAGAGCAGTTGATGAATGAAAAAGCTCTTGCAGAGAATACCTTAGGGTTTGTGAGGAAAATAGAGCGGGTAGCTTCCTTATCAATAGCAGAATCCCGGATCAAATAACACCAACAGAGATTGTCGGAGAAAGCAAACGCTCGAGCTGGAATTAACGATGAGGAAAGCGGGGAGTTTTGTAATCGGAAGAAGAGGAATAGTCTAGAATCAATATCCGGTAGCGTCAGCGATACAACTACAACTACAAGGGTCAAAATTGAACAATAAAATCGGATGGAGATAATTTGATTGTTCAGTTGTAAAATAACAATTCAAATTCATATTTACAAATTTAGTATTCGATATTCAGTTTTTTCTTGTTAGATTTAAATATCTATTAAATTAAAAAATAAAATAATATTAAAATTACAAATTTGAATTTATATGCAAAATAAATAAATTCAGTATTTGCTATATTTATCAAATTTATTTTATGTTAATTTCAAAGAGATGAGACGGGAGAAGAAAAAAAACCTTAAAATTATTAATTTTTAGATATAACTTTAAATTTTAATTATTTTAGATTTAATACAAAATTTAAATAGCAGCTGATTCCAATTGATTAAATTGGATTAGATTCTGATTTGATTTCAATCCCCCTCTAATAACTCTTCCGTATATTAACAGTTTGTTTTGGGCAGCTGTTGATTATTTTTAATCTGTTAATAAGCAGATTATTCTGATAATCTGAGATTATCAGAATAAGTTGGTTTGTTGTTTGGGAGAGCTTATTTAGAACAGCTTACTGACAGCTGTTGTTGGATAAATAACAATTCTGCCCCTATTTGATAAAGTTATTTGCAACAAAACTATATGGGGAAAATAATAGATATAACAGAAGCCTCAAACTGTTACAAATCAGTTCAAAAAAAATAACATACACTGCTCGCTATCTCGTGATAACCAGAAAAAATAAAATAAAGAGAAATATAATTACAAGTCAAATTAAAAATATTAAAATGTTCAATTTAAAAATCTGACGCCGTCTGTTCTCAGCAGCACTGTCTTCCTGCGAAACCACTGTAACACGATCACTCGGCAGGGGAGTATGTCGGAATGTCAGCCCAACGGAAGAAACCGCATCGTGCTGAACCCCCCCCCC